AGCAAGGTTGTTCTGTTCACTTACACAGATTCTCTACTTTGTTCCTTCAGTTTAACTGGGTCCCCAAAGAGTTAGTGGGTGGTTATTGAGTGAATCCAGAGAAATCAGGGCCCTCCCCCAACTACAGGGAAAGCAAATGGGGTGGTTGGTTAGAGCTGACACAACCTTTCCAACCAGACTTGATGAATCATAGTGGCCCTATGTTGGACCCTAGAATCTGGATCCTGTGTGTCTCTCCTTCCTACTGCTTAAACACCAGGGAGGTATAGGGATTGGTGGAGGTGAGGAAGCAAACAAGGAAACAAGACCATGGGGTTTGCTAAAGGGGCTGCAGTTTTCTCTTCAGGCCTGGCCTCTTACCCCTCCTCTCCTCCTCCAGGGAAGCATTCTTTCTCCTGCTGACACTCAACCCAGGAGTCAGGAGCTGTATGACCACCTCTATCAGAGTGAGGAGTTGACTCTAAGTTTGTGAAGGAACTGGGGCCATCAGGGGCTTCTGCTCGGCTCCTCCTTAGCCTACCATTGCCTTTCCAGGCCTTGATTTCCACTAATGATCAGATCATTGACTTTCTTGCTCTTATTCTGGAAGTCTCTATGATGCTGAGGTCTAGCCTGGATTGGAGAGAGAATATCTGCTATTGCTACCCACCCCAAGTCCATTTTACAAACTTTACTCTTGCTCCCTGCTTCTGCCTCCACAGCCCTTAGGAGTAGAAGCAAGTTTACGAAGTGTGAGCTGTGTTTCTAAGGATCCACTACAGCAAAGCCCACCGGGCGCGCAACAGCTGGGCAGGCGCTGCCGGGTAGATGGACATGCCACTCAGCCAGGGACATTCTGTTCGCTGCTGCCTGACAGCGCCTGAGAGACCCACCTCTCTGCCCCGGACATTCTGTCCGCCCTGAGCCCGGTGAGCTGCGGACATTCCATTTGATTCCGAGGCGGCTCCAGACTTGGGACCCATCCGGACCAGACATCCCAAGCCAGACATGTCAGACCCTCCGCCTGGTCACTCCGGCTGCTTAGCCTGGAAGCTGCCGCCAGCTCAGCGGTCATCAGCGTCTGGGTTCTGACAACTCAGCTCACATCCCAACTGAGAAGCAACTGGGAAAGGAACTAGATGTACCACTGCTCCTAGCTTCTGGAGTCTGAGAACCAGCCGAGGGGCGTCGGGTGCCCCAACTTTCCCCATGCTGGGGCGGCCCCCTTGAGCCTTCCCAGCTATCCAGGGACTCGGCAGCACCTTTTACTCTGGCTGCCTGTCCCGATTCCCGGATACCAGGGCGCTTTCTGGTCTTGGTTCCCTGATTCTCTACTCCTACTTCACGGAGACCTTGTCCAGCTTTCCTGTTTTGGCCTCCCTCCAGGTCCCCCGAGTGGCCCCTTCTCAGTCTCTCGGGTCCTGAAGCTAAGTTTCCCTTTTCTCAAGTCCTGGCTCCGGGTGTGTAGTCCGCCCTTCCAGTCTCTACAGGTTCCCTAAATACTGTTCCACATTTCAGCCGCCCCAGACTACGTTTTAGGGTTCACGAAGTCCGACGACATCCCCTCAACCCCTTAATCCCCTGCCCCCCGCATAGTCAAGCACTCACAGTGAGTCCCGCAGTAGGCAAACTCCCCGTAGCGGCGACAGCGGCCACAGTCTGGAGGGCAGACAGGGGCCAGGGGCCGGGCACCCGGCCGGCGGGGGTGGGGGCCGCCCCCCTGCGCCGGGACGCCGCTCCGCTCGGGCGCTCCCGGACTCGCAGAGGGAGTGAATGAGGCTCGCTGCCGTCTGCCACCCCCCGCCGGCGCCCATTCACTTTATGGCAGCCCAGGGCGCCCCCAGCCCGCAGCTGCAAGCCTGGCGCGTCGGGGCCCGCCCCCTTCCAGCTGCGCTGCCTGGGCTCCACCCTTTCCAGCTGTGAATCTTCAGGCCCCGCCTTCAGAGGAGGGGTCCAGCAGCCAAGAAACCCTCCCCTTGGCCAATCGGAGACTTACCTCAGCAACCGGGCCACACCCCTCCCACGTGGCTGGAACCGCGCTCCAGCAAGATCATTTTAGGAGAGCTAAGCCGGCGAGAATAGAATGGGCCTGGTGACCCGCAGATCCCGGACCCGCCTGTGGCGACGTAGGACCAGGAGTCACCTGCGTCCGTAGAGGACTTCTAGGGGGTCAGGTGGAAGTGTGCATGGCCAGAAGAGGCCTTTGAGTCTCAGAACTCAGATTTTGTTGCCGCTCAAGTTTTGCCGAATTCTCCACCTGTCGCTGTCTTTACACATCGCCTCTGTTCCAATTCTCCCGTCTTTCCATTCTTCTTTCTCTTCTGCCTCTTTGTTTCAGCTGTTTGTCCCTCTCCTCTGTCTTCTGTCACTTTGAAAGACTTTTTTTCTCTCTACTCTTTTTCCCTTATATCAATCTTTTCTAAGCCATTGTTCATTCCCTCCTCACTTTCCTCTCTCCACCAAGGAAAGTGGTTTTGTGGAGAAAGGACACAAACCAAAGTAGCAGCCTAAGCACTTTATTGCACTGCATCATCACCAGGTGATCTTGGATAAGTAACCTAAAGCCCTACTACCTCCATCCCGCAAACTAACGGAGGCTCTCACTGGATCTCAGAACTTGGAGCAGAGGCTTGAGCAGTTCACCTGTCAATCTGTATTCTTGGCTTGTCCATGCTATGCCCTCCCAACATTTACAAAACTAGCTTTTCCTTGGTGATATCAGGTTCAGTTCTGCAGACAAGGTGTGGCCTTGGTGCTTGCTATTAGAAATTTGGAATGGACAAGTTAGATTTCTCAGAAACATGTGGACCTCTTAGGGGTTTGGGAGCCTTTAAGATCCCTAAGCCCTATCATACAATATGCTCCTAAGGTAAATTTAACCAGTCATTTCTCTGCTCAAAGCCCTCTTGATTGCCCTCAAGATAAAGGTCAATCTCCATTGCCTGGCATACAAGACTTTCAGGAATTGACCCTATTTTAATCTCCAAATACTGGTTCTTGAACACTTCTGGCTATTCTTCTGACAGTGACATATTTCCAACCAGTCTTCTTCTTGCTAACTCTTATTCATCTTCCTGAGCTCCATACAAGTCTCATATTCTTTGGGAAGCCTTTTCTGATTAATTAAATGTCTAGTTTCTTGCTCCCACAACCCCCTATGCATACTCTTTATTACCTCACCACCACATTGAAGAGATCAATATGCTGTCTATAATGCAAAAATTTAGGAGGGCAAGGACCATGTCTTCCTCATATTTCTACAACTAGGCATAAGTAAACACTCAGTACTAAAATTTAAGAGGGGGATGTTCTGCTTGGTAAGATGATGGAAGTCAGGAGGGGTTAGGGAGGATCTCTTTTCCTTATCTCTAACACAAAAGCCCATTCATGTTTTTAGGTTGATTAATTTCTGAAGGTATGTAGAAATAGAGATGGGGAGAAATGGGGCGTTTTGGTCCACTTAGAGGATTTCCATTTGGCTATCAGGACCTCTCAATATGAGACAGGACTAGGAGACCAAATCCCAGTTTTCAAAGGTGAAAAATGTGGAAAGAAGTGCTATGAATCAAGACCCTTAGCTAGACCTAAAAACTAGGAGTCCAATATGCAGATTCATAGAACTGTTGAGCAGTTCTTCAGGTCTGGTGTCATATGTATTCTTCAAATCAGAGGACACGAGCATGTGAATAGTCTTTGGATATCTAGTTCTGATGCCATGTTTCTATGGAGTTAGCTATGGGACATCTCTGGTTATCTGTAAGTGGAAGGAAATGGGGAGAGAGTTGGTATCTTTTTTTTCACTACCTGCCAGCAATCTCTCCAGATCTTTAAAGACACTTGGTATGTACTCCTGTAGACAGACTGAGAATTCCACCATTCAATCGGCAAGGAGAAAAATTATTTTCCTGTCCCCATCTTACACACTCACTTCTAGGAAATTCTAACTATCCTAGCAACCTCTATAGTCTCCTGAAATAGGAGAAGCAACTGGGGGGAGAGTGAAAACTGGGATGGGCATCTAGCCCTCAATCATCCTATCATTTATAAAGCAAATAGGAAAGTCTTCAATTCTCTGTCACTGGTGATGTAGGCTAAGCCCTATGGTAATTTTTTTTTTTTCCAGGTAGATATAAAGTGTCCAAGGTTTAATCTGAGGGGGCTGAGCTGGGACTCACAATTTGATAGAATAAGGTATAAGAGGTAGGGAGGGGCCTTGAAAAAGCAAGCTGGACTGGGTGTGAGGACTTATGGGTTTGCCTTTTTGTCCTGCCATTAGCTACCTATATGAATGTGGAACCATCCTTCCACTCTGGCACTCGTTTCCTACTCTGTAAAGTGAAGAGACCTGAGGTACATTTCTCATTTTCTCTTTCTGTATGATAGGCATGGGGCACAAGATGCAGGAACAGTCAGGATAGGACTAATGGGATAGACCCAACTATGAGAAGCCAAATTGAGCAGACAGATGGGAGTGAGGGCAGGAGAGTTTAACTAGATTGTGGGACTAGTCCTAAAATGGAGGGCGCTCAGAATAGCCTGGAAAGAAATGATCGCTCAGGAGACTTTGCTAGGGTATGGAAAGGGTGGTGTGCGCGCGGAAGCAGCGTCGCCCGCTTAACTCTCAAAAGGGACCCCGCCCCCTTCCCAGCAAATCATAGCTTTCCTCCCCATAATGCCCAGAAGCCACTGCCAAGTTTGTGCACTGCAACCTAACTCTATTAAACTCCACCTCTCCGACCGCCCAGTATCATTTCTCGTTTTTAATTGGCTTTTAAAACTGTCACTCAGAGAGTCATTTCACCCGTTGGTTGTCCCCTACCTACCCTTTTCTTTTCCTGATAATCTCTCCCACTTCGGTACTACCCGCCTCCCAAAGCCAGTTTCTCTCTTTGATTGGGTAGCTGGAATGCCACTTTCACGCTACAAAGTTCTGATTGGCTGTACGCGGCGGGGCTCGCGCAGTTACCAGGCAGCGGGCTAGACTGAGTCGAGTTACCACGTCAGTGAGCTGACAGGGAAGGTAGCCGGCTCCACCGCCCGTTCCGGCCCACTGTTGCTGGCCGACTGAGTGGTCCCTGGCTTCGGCTTTAGCTTCCAGGAAACGAGCTCCTTCCCTGCTCCCACCAGCCACGAGAGCCGGAAGGGCCACTCGGAGTCAGCTTCGGGACTCGGGCTGACATGAATTGTGGCTGCTGGTCCTGGGACTAGGCCCCGCCATTTTGGATCCGCTGACAGGTCAGCGAAGTCTCTTCTTAGAGTTCCAGTGTCGTGAAGGCCGCCCTGAATGAGGGGAGGAGGGCTTGTAAATTGGACGAGCCGGGGTGGGGTAAGGACTCAGGGACCGGAATATGACAAGGGAGAGATTGCCGTGGCGGGACGAATGGGGTGGGGGGAATCTGGGAGGCGTGCAGGGTGCAAAGGTCAGGCCCCTGGCGCAGAAGGGGTGACTTCAATTCTGATTTATGATCCTACTCGGTGCCGGAATCCTTCTTGTATTCCCTGGTTTAACCTGGCCTTCACCTCCTCTCTTTGCAGCTTTTTGTATTCGAAAAAGCACTGTTTTCAAAAGCTGAAAGCAAACCTAAAGAGCATTATATTTATTTTTTCAGGTTTGCTTTTTAGACCTGAGATATGAGAGTCTCAGCAGAAGCGTCCGCTTCTGTGTGACAGCTGAATCATTAATACTGGATTTTGAGCTATTGCAGCCTAGACTCAAGTAGCGAGAAGAGGTGTGGAAAGACGGAGGCCAGCAGTGGAGGAGTCCGGGTTATGAGAAAGTTTTCCTCTTACGGGGCAGTTGGCTGAGGGTCTGGGTCTGTAGGTTAACCCTGGACTTATCTTTGAGCCCATTTCTTCTTTTACATGATCTTACAGATATTCCTTGTTTGTTTGTTACTGGTGCGTGTTTTTAGTTGACGTTTCTTACCCAGATCTTCTCTTCACCTGGTCTAAGGAAATGAGGTCCAATCATAAGGAAACCACTCTATTATGATATGTTTAGCCAGAAACAGAGAGGAATTTGAATACTGGTGAGATTTGGTACTATTGGCCTATTGTTTTTAGTAGATAAAGTCATAAGAGATGTTTATCCAATTAAAAAGTGGTAGGGTCATGGTAGCAGAATACATGATGGGACATAACTCCCAAGAGTATAGCTTATGTCACTGTCAATGACCTTTGATAAACTGCTGTACTGCAAACTATAAAAGTCCCCTGAGGGTAAAAAGTGGCCTTACAGATGGGGAATAGTGAATATAGCATTTTTAATGCACAATATAGAAATTTGTATATCTTTAAGTTCAGATACACAAAGCACTCCTCTGGGCCTGGTGGAGAATACAAATGGATATATCTATTTGGTGACTGTTTTACTCAGTTTTTGCACAACTTCAAAGCAGTGGCATGTATGCCTAGGGGCCTAGCTAGGTCTTGTAGTAGGGATAAAGCAGTGTTACCCTAATGCCTTTTAACTAATGGTGGGCACTAAAAACATTTTAATCTGTGCCTAGGATTAGTTTTAGTATGTGATTCTGACTTGCGGCCTGGCAGTCAGGACTTTTGCATGGTTAAGTAGTAACAAGGAGGATCAAAACTTCATGTTAGAAGGGAAAACGAGGGTCAAGAGTAGCCAACTTTCTTTCTTTCTTTTTTAAAGATTTATTTGTGCATATTCAGGCCAGAAGTGCAGGGTGGTGAGAGGATTCACCAGAGACAGAGTGGGAAGCTGAACAGACAGACTGATGAGGTACATTGCTGAGGGGAGCAGCAGGCAAGGCAGGAGGGGTCTTCTGTGCCATGTGGGTCAGCTCCCTGGCGGATTGAACTCGTGCTGAAATAACTGCAGCTAGTGGCTAGCTTCTTGGTGCTGTGCTTTGAGTTGTGCCACCAGAAAGGGCCAAGAGTAGCTAACTTTCTTCCTACATAATGCCCTGGGTTTTTCTAAAATTGTGTGTTGATGGGAGACAGCATTTATTTATTTATTTTTTTAAATTTAAAATAAATGGGATAAGGACCCCTTTCTTAAGTATCTAAAAATAAATAAATAAGAAATAAGTGGGGTGGAAATGGTGCAGGAAAAATTTGCATTTTAACTTGGCTGATCTAAGTTGCCATATTTCCCAAAAGGCACCTTAAAGGTGGCTGATATGACATAGCCCAAGAAGTATCCAGGATTCATGGGCTGGCCATACTCATCAGGATTGATATGCTTTGCATAATAGGCCACGTAGTCCTGTGTAACTACTGTGACCAGTTCAACATCGTTTCAATTGGTCCTGGAGGTGATTTAGGCATCAAAGATTTTGCCTTTCTTTACTTTTCTGGATAGAAATAATTCTTTACCTCTAACTCCTACTCCACATCAGAAAAATAATTCTTCCTTACAAGACTTGTGTTTGAACTTCTTTTCAAAGGTGGCCATACACAGACATTGTGTTCTGATCTGGAAGGTGGTACTCACTCGTGGCACAGTGGGAACTCAGGTTGTAGGCATACCTCTTCATGACTAGCTGGGAAACAATCCCTGTAGAGATTTGCAGTTCTCAGAGTTCCACTGCTATATCTGTGTTCCAGAAATCAAGATGACTACCATTTTGAAATAATAACTTCATTAAAAGGACAGGCTAGTATAAGTTAGGAAAAAGACACAGCTCCTGCTTTTGAGGAAATACACTGCATTTATACAATACTCACTGTAAGGATCATCTTTGCCATTTAAGTCATTTCTTTTAACAGAGCACAATCTGTCCATTAGTTTAGTAGTTCATTGTGATGGAGTTGAGTGGAAGGAGGTTTTCACCCTTAGGCTTCAAGAGCTGTGAAAATGTAATTGGCAGCTGTTTAGCTTTTATTGTTTCTCATTTTCTTTATATTCAGTGTTATACAACATACAATAGCATTTGTTTAATTAAATGAAAATATCATAGTGTAGTAATTTAGAACCTTGGTTATGGTGGAAGTGATCATAGAAGTAATGATGTTGTTGTGAGAGACTACAAGCTCAAATGCCTGAGTGTCATCAGATGATGTAACTAAGTGAAGTGAGCCAGGTGGAATGTGGGCATATGATCAATTTTCTGATTTTTCTAGAGAAGCTGCAAATTGAGACCATTATGTTTTTAACTTGTTAGCGGCTAGTTAAAAGCAACAATAATCTTTTTTTTTTTTAAAGATTTATTTTATTTGTACATACAGAATTGGGGTACAGGCCAGAGGCTCAGGGGCGGTGAGAGGCTTCACCAGAGACAGAGCAGGGAGCAGAACAGGCAGATCTACGAAGTACACTGCTGAGGGGAGCAGCGGGCGGGTCAGGAGAGGTCTGCCATGCCATGTGGTCACCTCCGGGGCAGGCGTGAATCGAACTCATGCAAAGTGGCTTTAGTTTCTTAGTGCTGTGCTTTAACCCGCTGCGCCACCAGGGAGGGCCAGCAACAATAATCTTTTGTAGGCAGAACAAAATTTGTGGACTAGATTATTTCTGATTATAGTGAATTGTAACCCCTCATTTATAATATGAATAGGTCTTATGAAACAATCACTATGGTTTTCTTTTTTTTTAAGATTTATTTACTTATGTATACAAGAACTGGGATATACTCCAGGTGCAGGGGGTGATGAGAGAATTCACCAGAGACATTGGGGAGCAGAACAGGTAGATTGAGTGAAGTACACTGCTGAGGGGAGCAGGGGACAGGTCAGGAGAGGTCTGCCACGTCATGTGGGTCACCTCCCAGGCTGGGAATTGAACTTGAGTTTCAGTGGGTGTGGACAGCTTCATAGTGTTGTGCTTTAACCCATTGCGTCACTAGGGAGGGCCCAATCACTGTGGTTTTCTATGTATAATCAAGCAGGCTAACTTTTTATCTTTGTCCAACTCTACCAATTACTAGGGTGCCCTGAGTGGTCATAAGTTGAGAAAGAGAGAAACCTTGTTTTATTTTTTCAAGTTGGCAGAAAGTACATCTCTGGATAGTTTTGGACAGAATCTCAGTGGCTCACCTTGCATCTAGTTATTGGGATAGATTCAGAATCTCCATGGAGAGAGGAGGTGACAGAATTGAGGAATCCTGGTCACCTGACTATTGAGTTTGGGAGGATTTTTCAGTTATGCCCTGTCAGGCACTAGCTTTTTTCCTGGTTTGACATTCTCTTAACCTCTACCCTTTGAGCCCAGTAAGTTGTTCACTAGTTCAGTAATTCTCGATTACTCTCAATAAAGCACAGAACTGTGTTTTTTTGGTCAGCTCTGGTAACCTCATAAGCTATACATTTTTAGTGTTTCTTAGGGATGTTCAAGAGATTCAGTGAAGGTAAATCTTGGCAAGATCAATTGAGGGTCATTCAGCCCCCTCGGTACCAGACACCAAAGCACCATGAAAAACAAACAAAACTTGAAAATCCTGAGTTTTTGCCTGTGGAGAATCTAATTTTTAAAAATTATTATTAAAGGTTTATTTATTACAAGAACTGGGGTACAGGCCAGAGGTGTGTATGTGGGAGTGAGAGGATTCACCACAGAGTGGTGGGTAGAACAGGCGCATCTATTGAAATACTCTTCTGAGGGGAGCAGTGGACAGCACAAGAGAGGTCTGCCACGCCATGTGGGTCAGCTCCCTGGCCAGAGATTGAACTCATGCTGCAGTGGCTGTGGCTTTAACCTGTTGCACCACCAGGGAGGGCCCAAGAATCTAATTTCTAATTGGATAAGGACAGGTTTTAAAAGTAGTTAAGAAAAATAACTTGAACAATGATGATTAATAACAACTATTTAAAACCAAAGAAAATAAGATACATACACATATATAAATTGATCCTGTAAAGGATAATATATTTCACAGATGAAATATGAACATGCAAATAGCTTATGAGAAGACTTCTGGAAAGATAGATGTGAAAATGGAAGCATTGTGATTTGACTGGTGGGTAAATGTGGGTTCATTTGTTTTAAAGAATGGCCTGTATAGAAGGTTTGTAGCTTTTAGCGGAGAAATAGATATGGGGTACAGAAAGAGGTTTACCTGCCTGGGCTAGAGTCCTGTTCTTCTATGAAGTCATTGTTCTCCCAAGAGGAGGAAGTGAGCAGCACCAGTATTGAAGTGTCTATTTTGATGTTAGTTCATTCATTTCTTTATTCAGTAATTATTATTTTTTCTTACTATTGTCAGGCATTGGGAATAAAAGATAAATAAATCATGGTTTCTTCCATAGACTCATGGGAGGGACAGACTAATACAAAA